ATATATGTACGCGGTCAGCCCTTGCTACGACAAACAATCCAATGGAATATGTATGCTGCCAAAAATTACGCTTTCTCTTTGCGGATTAAAAGCACGTACTTGCAGCTACTCGGCAAATTTTGATATACCTCCATCATAATCGGATTATGGCACTAAAAACAATCTAAAAGTAGTAATTTATGAAACAAAAATCTCTCTTTTTAACAGTGGTAATAAGTTTTTTAATGATGAAAGTAAAGGGTTTATTAGTCAGGGATTTTTACAGTATAGGTATAAAACTTTCCTTTTTACACTGTGGTATTACTACTGATGTTAGCTTTGAAAAAGGTTCTGTGGCTCAAAAAACGGGATCCTTATAGGATCACTTTGTTGTCTGTTTGCCTATCAAGACCATTTATCTCGGTACCATTTCGAGTTATCGAGTCGAAATTTTATCCATATACTCAACTACTCTTCTCTCGTACTCAACTACTCGTCTACTGTTTCTTGAAGCTGTGAAAAAATTAAAATTATAAGTTAATGATAAAAAGAGATACGGCCGTTAATTTTGCGTACTTACAAATTTGGGCGGAACCCACGGTGGGCGCGTCCGACTTGGACTTGCCCAGTTTTTTTCTGTATATTCCAATCCGTTCAGTGGATTGAGTTGTGTCTCGGTAGATCAATCAGTTAGTAACGATTGCCTTTTATATATGAGTAATAGAAGATTATTATTAGTGAAAAACGTTTAGACATAACGAATGCAGTGTATATCTAAAGGAACGTCAATATGTCGTGAAACCAATATGCAACTTAATATTTCCAACACCCCAAACTAAGCACTGTACGCTTGTATTATGGGATACTAGGGATAACGGATAGAATACATATACTGATACACATTTAAGTATATTTATATAGATATACATATTAAACATCCATGACTGATGTACAAATGCTGCTGTTCATCATAAAAACATCTGCCCCCACCGGGATTTGAACTCGGGACCTCTCGACTAGGCGACACCTTGGAACCCGGCGTACAATCTACACGGCGTACAATCCTCAAAATTATTAAAAATTAAATCAAGAAATATGTATGACATTTATTTATTTATTTTATTATAATAATACAAACCATACACATACATATTTCAAAAACCATACACGAAAACCTGTTAAGGTTTATGTGTGTATGAGAGCCACTCCTTTACCACTTTATACACTTTCAAGTTGACTATTTTGTAAGTAATATCTTTTAAATTTATATTTATTATATATATACATAGTACATTTCTTGATAGAAATGTATTAAATAACAAATCTTTCTTTTTCCGTGGACATTATTAAATTTCCGCAACAAATACTTTTACGATCCAACACATTTCTCAGATTATCTGGTCTTTTATTAATATTCAAGTACTTAGTCTCGTTACTTTCGGTTAGAATTACGTATTTTATTTTGTCATAAACATTCGTCACATTACAATATCGAAATAATTCTTGTGCGGTACCTTTATATTTAACTTTTAAATATTTGTGTACAATTATCTTTAGCATTTTATATTGAATTTTATAAATATCCTCTATGTAGGTATGTCTTATAAGTTCTTCCATAACTCCTTAGGCCATAACTTACAACAGATTCAGCTCGGGACAAATATATGAGTCTAAGGGTATCTGTATGGTAGTTTTTTTTAATAGAGATATTCAAATAGGTTGTTGTTATGTATTGTGTAATTTGTCAGTAACTACTAGTGTTACTTTGTTTATACTGTCGTACAAATGATAATCATCCGCTTACAAAATAAAGCTGCTGCACGTTCTTTTAGATGTGAATAGTCCCAAATTGCAATTAACGGGCACATCAGCTATAATAAAATATTGTCAATGGTGGAATTAGAAACAAATTAAACTACCATACCTATGGTAGAGCTTTAAGGCACGCTAGCTCTATAGATAATATGCATAAGGACTTTGCTCCGGAAAATATTTTCGCTTCCGGAGATTTTTCTCCGGTTTTCGCCCGTTTCCGGTGAATTCTCCGGAGAATATCCATAAATTAAATCTGTGTAAATAAAACTAAGCAAGTAAGATTTTAAATTATTTTAATGTAACAAGTCAAAACATTTTAATTCCAAGACGTCTGCAAGAATTAACATGTAGTGTAGGTATGAAAATAAACTAACGAATATTTTAATATTAATAATATTAAAATTGTCAACAATGGACCATGTAACATAGATAGGGACGTGGAGCAAAATACCTTTTTTTTATCCAGGGGAAATGCCTTCGCATACCACCCTATCAAGGGGATCATAACAGGGTGGTTATGTGGGACTTGAACTCACTAAAACCGCTGGGTGTCCCTCCGCCGCTGTGTGACGCACTCCGGGATCATTAAAATACTTCTACCGGAGCCGCCACCAGATATCCTAGCGGCCCGCCTCTCTTAGCAGAATCCAACCTCCTCCACCAGTGACCTGCAAAATACCTGCCCTAACCTATTTTTATATTACAGCTTTGTAACGTTTTTTCAAACAGATATTGAATCACTTTCAAATTAATAATAAAACATAAAATGCCTACCTTTCGTTTTTACAAGCTTTTATTTAACTTGCTATGTATGTTTGTTACGGTCAAATCTTACAACTCAATTTTAAAGCACTTGCCCTCAACCGATTAAGCTGAAATTTGGTATGCTCGTTCAGTTCGGATGACAATGCATGCTTAACAGTGTGACGTCATTCTAAATCCAATATGGCGGCATACCCAAAATGGCGGACCAATCATTTTTAATGCATTCCTACAATATCAAATTAAAGGGCTTGCTGAGAGTAACTCGAAAAAAATGTGACGTCACTCTCAATCCAATATGGCGGACTTCTAAAATTTGAAAATCTATTTAGAAACAAACTTTAACTAAATTTTTTTCTTTTTAGCGCATTTGAATAAAAGCTTGTTTTTAAAAAGGTTTTTGTACCTTATTTGAGGTTCAAGAGCGCTAATTCTAATACCCACTGTTCAAATCGTTAAATCAATATGTAATAATACCTGCGCTTGCAGCAGGCAGATACGAACTTTTTCATTCCGACCACAGACTAACAAACAACATCAGGGTTGCGTTCAGATCCTACGCTCGAGGTGCAGCAAATGTAAAAGTTGATGTAAGTTTTATACATTTTATGTCAAAATTTAAACGTAGTAAGTAGAGAGTTGCACTCAGAGCATAGGTTTTAATGCAACCCAGTACTGACTTACACTCCAGTGTTGCCGTAAACAAATATTGCATTTGTTTCTGCAATAGACACATATAACAGAAATATTTTTATTAGTATCTGTAAAATCTCCGGAGATTAAAAAATCGATTCTTCGCATAATTGTTGATCTCCGGAGAATCTCCGGTTTTTTTGTCTCCGGAGCAAAGCCCTAATATGCATGCGTTCCCGACTGTCAAACCAAACTGACACAACACCAGACCGAGATTTTTTTTCCGACCATCACACCGTCACACTTTCGATCGTGTTCTACTAGACAATAAGCTGACCTAGTTTCTTTATGTCTGAGAATTGCTAGATCTGGATAAACAATATGTTACCAATGCCATATTTGAAGAAGGCTAAATCCGTACTTATATAGTTTGAAATGTCTAACAGTAAGTAGTTAGTAAATAGTAAATTACTAAAGAGCTTAAAAACTTTGACCTCGAGAACTTGACATAGATTTTTGAGGTAATCGCTTCGTAATATTCCTACTTTAATAAACTTGATAATGAGTTAAGAATTGACCGTATCTATATTGATTTTTTACACATTTGATAAATTGTCACAAATTGCAATTAACGGGCACACCAGCTACAATAAAATAATGTCCATGGTGAAATCAGAAATCAAATTAAACTACCATACCTATGATAGAGCTTTGATACAAAAGCACGCTAGCTCGATAGACTATAATATCTGTACTTCATATTCGCTACTGTAGCAATTAAAATGTTCGATACTATTAATTTTCAGACGGTAATACCCAGTGAGGTTATACAGGTCATTCTGATTGCTATTACAGCACGGAGACTATTAATTGCTTTTTTAAGCTGAGAATTGTTTTTTACTATTTTTTACTTTCATATGCTGGGAATATGAATAACATTACGAAAGCATAGATTGCGCACAGTTACTTAAATTTCAGTACAGATATAAAAACAGTAGTCTTTCATTACAATAGTCAACAAAACAAATATAATCATTGTTCAAAACATAATTTATTTGTTTCTAGAAATACCTATATTATTACATATTATGTAGGTACTTGCATAATTCAGTTTTATTAAATGTTTCTGAGAAAAAAAGCTTATGGCGGAAGAATCAAATCATAGAGAAAGCAATCACTGGCTAAAAGTAATTTCAGCACGTTTTCTTTATTTTTGTTCTTAATAATAAGTGTATTCGTGTTTGATCCGCATTAAAAATGTTTGTTTCCACTCAGTGACTAGTATTATATTAATCAAATGTCCTTTTCGAGTAGCCTTTTCCTTTTCTCTGCTTTAAATGATATTTCTTATTATCGATCTTCTTGTGTATTGAATTCGATATATCATTGAAAGTGGCAATGCTGATTCTGGCGCGCTCTTCTCTATGCTACGTGCGAAGACCATCGTCAATCATTTGAATTTTGTATGTATTCTAATAAAAAAATACTTAAGTTTAACGTGGAGTTGGAAATATTGTAATCAGAAGGTATGCTGAGTATAAGATGAAGCAATTTCGTTGAACCTCATTTTCAGGCTTTGTTTGTTGACAATAGTAGCGACAAGGTAAGGATTATATATGGGTATACATAGATAGGATAGGATACAGAAATAAGAAAACGGCCTCAACAGCCGAAAGGATTTTCTGCTTACCAAATACGATTCTTTGCGGCTATATTATACAGTACAAGCCCTTCTATTTACAGTCACTGCTCGTTTCATTTGGAGTTACTTTGCGCCTACCGTTTTCACGGGGTTAAAGCTCAGTCCCGCCGGTGAGTCCGTCGAGGGCGGTTGTTAGCTGCGTATTCTGATAACGCTCGGATGCGCTAAACTCGTTGACTAACATTCGAAGTTTGAATTTAAATGTGAAAGAAGTTTTTAATCTGTCTGAAAACCAGTAGTGCAACTATGAACTTTGTCTACGTTTAAGGTTAGTACAGAATTTCTATTGCGCCATTGTAACAAGTTTGAGGTTAGCGGATTTTGTTTTTCCTTTATTTCATCGTTTGAAACTGTTACGGACTGTTTTGAATAAACTAAACTTTTAGGTGAGTTTGAATATGTGAAACCGCTTGAACTAAAATGTACAAGTTTATGTTTTGAAAATAGCAAACAAAATTTGGTTACTTTGTTGGAAGCTTATGACAAAGTAATATTTTATTATATTTTGCTTCTGGTACAGGTGTTAATAAAAGTGGGTTCCTTTTATTAAATCTTTTGTTTCCTAATTTATTTTAATTTTTTGGTTTTAAAACGTAATTTACAAAAACCCTATTAGTATTTTCAAAATTTCAAATACCTAAATACATTTTTTTCTGATGAATTATAATTGATAAATGTAATGTACGGTTTAAATTCATTAATTATTATATAAAATATATATTTACTTTTCTCTTTGTGCACATGTTGTTTGTCCTCATAAAAAGATCTAATAGATGAATTCCATTGATTGTATCTTGATATTGGAAATTTATTCAAAATATATTACATATTGTATTTTCAGCTGCCACCCGATTCTGTGTTAGAAAGAATTTAATAGGTTTTTAACTTTTTTCAAGACCTGTAAAGAGATACTGTAAAAAAAAAACAAAATTGGAATAACTTACACTGAGTTTTTATAGCGAACGCCGTATGTGTAATGAATTTGGGTATCCTATTACAATTTTCAATATGACATGTCACCTTTAAACTGATTTTCTGCTGCAACAACAAATAACAAGTCTTAGTTGAGGAAGTGATGAAATCTACCAGGTACCTCTGCCGTGTATTAATTATGTCTGGTTATCCTACCTTTTTCCAGATTACGATTTCTAAAATTTATTTACTACACTTGTTTTGGATTCACGGACTAGATAAATACTATGCATGCGTTCCCGACCGTCACACCAAACCGACACATCAGTGTGATGGTGGGAAATTTATTTTCCCGATGATAACACCTAGACATCCCGAACGTCACACTTTCAATCGTGTTCTACTAGACAATAAGCTGACCTAGTTTCTTTATGTCTGAGAATTGCTAGTTCTAGATAAACAATATGCTACCAATGCCATATTCGACGGAGGCTAAATCCGTACTTATATCGTTTGAAATGTCTAACAGTAAGTAATTAGTAAATTACTAAAGAGCTTAAAAACTGACCTCAATACTTCCTCAGAACTGTACATATATATTTGAGGTATTCGGTTCGTAATATTCCTTCTTTAATAAACTTGATAATGAGTTACGAAGTGAGCATATCTATACTAATTGTTTTCCACATTTGATGAAATGTCGTTCTTGTCTGTTTGTATATTGTACATACAACTGAATCTGAGTTTTAACTATTTATCTCTCATGTTATTTTGAGTTGTAAAAATATCAAAAATGTATCTTTCCAAGTCATTTTTTAACACAGTTGTAGATCATTTTTATGAATTGTTTATTTAAAAAATGAAATTGTAAAACATTTGAAAATTTAAATGTGTAACTGTGAAATGACGTCATTGAATTAGAAACAAATGTTTTTTGTTGCTTAAGTGGCGTATTTGATATATTCGCAAATTCGTAATCATATCCTATGCAGCAGCCTAGTAAAAAAATGTTTTCATTCATACTTGCGTTCTTCTAAGCCCGTGATAAAAAGAAAGACTTTAGTAGCGAGTTTAATCAGAAGGAACTTATTCACTTTGGCTTTAAACAAAAACATAAACAGACAGACAGAAACATAGACGCAGGCGCTACTCTTTCGCAGTACGCAAACTATTAAGAAGAGCTTGGTGCAACGAGAAGGAATAGCAACCAAGAAAGGTCAGTAACTTGCAGTACGTCTTGATGTCCGATGTTAGAAGGAGGCGCAATGAGTTCATCTAACACCTAAGCACATTCCCCGAAGTACAGACTCTAAAACAGAGAGGCAAGCGACCTTACGGCAACCCAGTGGTAAGACAAGCTATGAAGTTAAGCTTTCAGCTTAGTGATAAACATGAAATTTTTAATAACACAACCTAAATTAGCTTAATCTTTTAAAAAATATAAGAATATCGACTTTACTTATGCAGTTAGAAAAAATGGGTTTCAAAATAAGCATTAAGTCAAAATCAATGTAGTATTTGTAAAGTTCTGTTGTACCCTTTGGAGCTCTTTTTTGCTATGTTATGAAACTAGGCTGATTTTTTTTAACAGTAGGCTGACGTTGTTGACTTCTTTGTTACCAAGTTATAAATTTCCCCCAAGTTTAATGGGGAAACATTTTTAATGCATTCTAATGTAGCTTTTTTCATCGATATCACGATATAGCAACGATCGGACGCGTTTTTTGCAAAGTAACACTGTATATAAAGGAGATTTAAGGGGTTTTCTAAATCTCCTTTAGAGCTTTATATTTATGATTGTTGGTATTTGCTCTATTAACAAATGCAACTCTCTACTCGCGAATTTTGAAACTGATATATTTATTGTTGTCTATTGCTTAATGATAGATTAGTATAAAACATTTTCTTTTGTTTTATAGTGCACATCAATAGCAAAAAGATTAAATAAGTAAGGTAACCAGCTTCGGCCATTCTCGAAAATATTTACTTAAACTTCATTATTGATTTTGACAAAAACTGTTAGAAAACCGCTTTTTTATTTAAGGTTCAAATATTGATGGGTATGTTAGTTACTCTTCTATTTTTTTGTATTAAAAAGTTTTAATTTTCAGTCACTATTTGATATATAATATCTATGACAGGTATATCCAGAAGCCACATGATCTACGAGACATGTTGTGAACACACAAATAAAATTATATTTTCGTTTAAACAAGCGGTTTGTTAACCAACGTTCCTTTATTGAACGCGGCCGTACTATGAATGCAGCTAGTCAGTCTGCGGTCGGGTAGGTCAAAAAATTGAATGCGGTCGCCGATAACCATATCATTTATTGAAAAATATATATAATTTCTTATTACACTTAAATAAAATACTACAAGAACAAATTTCATATGAATAAATATATACGTATAAATAGTCTACGAATAAAATATCAATGATTTCATACGTCATTTTAAATATTTTATTGAAAACTTATTTTATTATTTATAAGCAATAATGTTGTGTCACAATGATAAATCTTCCAAAGTCAAGCACATTGTATAACAACATGTTTAAAGAAAGAGTAAGGATAAAACAAAGATTAGGAAATAATCATATATAACCTGAAAATTGATTCTAATAACTTGTTTTATTTTTTCTTTGAATAGTTAAAGTTATTTATTACTCGTGATTAACGAAGGATACAACTATTAATTCGTTATTTGTTATTCGAATAATTTTTGCCCAACTCTGGTCCAGGTATCAGACAGGATTCAAACCTGCACCTTTAGCTAGATAAAAAGAAAAAATTGCGGTGCCTTGCAGCCTAAAAAATATCAAAAATCTAGGTATATTATATATATTTGGTTAGTGCGTCCACTCGAATAGCGGAAGCTACAGGTTCCAGGTAAAAGAACATATCGCAGATATGAAACATAGGCGCGAAAATAAATCTGCAGTGTGTGAACATGCATTAGGGGGACCAAACCACTACATTAGATTTGATAGACCACAGATCCTTGCAGCTGAGCGGCGGTTCGTTCCTCGAATGATGCGCGAGGCTATTGAGATTAAAAAATATCCAAATTTCAATAGGGAAGATGGTTGGTATATACCACCAGCTTGGGAACCTATTATACAGGAGATAAAATCCCAACCCCGAGCACACACTGCAAGACCATCAGATACTATTAGTTCTTTTTGTTTGCATAATTTAACATAAGAAGGAGATAGAAAGCCTCTCTTGAGTTTGTTTCGCCGGTTCTTCTCAGGAAGGTCTCCCAATTTTGGAACCGGTGGTAGTTTACGGTAGTTAGGGTCAAATAAATAAACTCAAAATTACAAACAAGAATTTTTAATAAAATACTTTATTAAGTAAATTAAATAATAAATTCATACATAGACAATAAAATTTTAAAAATCTTCCAATGAAATAACCGAACGCTCAATATAAGTCTTTCGAAGGTAGCTCGACAATTTTAAATAAAAAATCATTATTCTGACGATGCAGACCTGAAAAGGCTGCGAAACGTCAATAAATAAATAAAGTTTCGTGCATTAACCCGTAAAAACTAGTTTTATTTAATGAGTGATGTGCGTGAAAACCTAAGAAACAAATAGGTTCCAATTCTGTCTGATGAACTGAATGACTTTTTTCTAGTAAAATTTTCTTTACATTTATAAATCTAGCATTATAATGATTAAAATAACAATAAACTAAAACTTCTTTAACTTTTAAACACAAAACTATATATATCAGATCTATAAATATTACAAATGCTATATCCACAGCATAACAATCTAACAGCAAACCCAAGCTAACACCTGTTCAACGAAAAAAAAATACTGATAAATAATACGAATGATATTAACATGTCAAAATTAATATGAAATTCATGTCTATGTAGTTACGTAATTCTCGCTGATCGGAATTCGAGCCCGGAACCTCGTGGTTGAAATGAATTTCACGCGTTCTTTGTAACGGAAATCGTCATTACAAGTTTATGATTGTTGATAGAGAAATAAACTAATAGTAATTTGACAATGGACGCAACTACATTAATGGGCTGGCTTGGCTCCACTGAAATGTCTTTGTTTTAACGTAAATCTTAACAAAGGTGACAGTAAGGTTTTTCGAATACTAACTTACCTTTTATTTTTCTCAAGATTATTAATGAACGCCTAAGGTCAACTCGCAGTAATTTAGTTAAATCTGGATTTAACTAAAACTAGATTTAGCTCATACAAGAATGTCAAATTGATATTGACGTTTTGTCATTTTTCTGTGGAATGATCTAGTTGTAGTTGAGTCGAGACTTAGAAAATTTGCTGCAAGTGGGCCTAAAACCATAAATCAGATTACCTTTTGGACCA